ACATCATTCTTGCCAATACTTTCATTGCAATAATGGATTCTTGCTACTAACATGTTTCATACAAGGAAAAATTCAGAAATTAATGCTGACTGTGTACCATATTTGAACAGCTTTATGTATTGCTGTATTGTTTTTCTGAAACCACAGTGGCACTTTTCATGTCTCCATTTATAATATGTGCACAGTTTTCTTTGGTTTTTTACTTCTAATAAATTTACTGATGGATGTTTATATTTCAAGCAGATTATTCCTCTCAATACAGCTTCAAAAAAATAATGGAAAGAAAAAAGCATGCAGTATATTGGTAGTTGTGTATACAGATTGTTTTTCCCCAGTTTATTGATCAGTTAACTTGCTTCATTCTTGGAAATGAGAAAACAAAATCCTTCAAAATAATTTCATTTTTTCAACCTACATATCTTAATACTTATAAGTATCTTGATATAAACTATAGGTCATAATGTATTACTTTTATAATGAAATACATGGTGTGGGATTGCTTTAATTTTCTGATGATTCTAAAGATGCATGGACTTGTGTTTAGAGGGAATGTAGAAAACGTTTGTATGAATCAACACAGAACTGTACTGTTCTTGCTCTTAAGATTTTGGATTCCAAACCTGCAATTGGATCCATTACTGTCTGACTTGATTTTTATTAAGAGCAGAAGAGTCTAAAATAAACGTAGCAAGATAACATATAGGAGAGGGGAACATGCAAGTGAAGAGGTGATGTGCAAATAAGGTCCTTGTATATGGAATTATGTACCATGAGAAAACTGCTGGGGGTAAAGAAAAAAACCAGAAGGAAAGACTGTGTAATGGGAAGACCATGAAAATAAACTCTTAAGTTAATTTTTTGTTGGTACTGTTATTCTTTATCTTTGTCTCACATTGCATTATGGCAGGTTGACCTTTTATATGGATCCTATTTCCAATGAGTACTATTATAAATTCAACATGGATTGCATAATGAGCGTTACTGCCGCCTTCATCTGAACTGAAAAATATTAATAAATCTCGTATAAAATGTAACTGTTGGTGGTAGAACAACACCTTTCAAGGGGATGTCCAGTGTTCATTCACAAACATCAAGAGATGTGATCAGACAGTGGTTCTCACATTGAATCTGGGGTCTCTCCTTAGCAGCTGCATGAGTGGGCTTTTCATGGTAGAAACTGTATTGGGAAAGTAAGTTATTCAACTCAGGGGGGACTGATAAAATGAAGCAGCACAGGTGGGTTGTTTGAGCCTCTGACATCTGTCTGTCAGAGAGTGCTAAAATCAGGGGATGTAGGTATGCCCCAGGACTTCACAGTTTGTGTGTACGCAGAGCTAGTCTTGTTCTTGCACTATGTTTCATGTCAGAAAATGAAAGACTCAGTTTCTTTGCCTTCCCTTTGGAGAACTTTTAGTTTTGCCTTACTGTTCTTCCCTTTTATGAGGTATTGCTTTTCAGCCAGTTTTGAGCTTCTTTAATTATTTTGAGTTAATAAACTAACAATGTTAACTTAGCTTGCTTCCTGTTCATTCAAAGTTACTATTTGAAATAAACCTTGGGTTTGGTAGCTTCTTGTTCTCTGTAATCTTAATGGAAAAGGAAAGCAGCCAGATTATTCTGAAAAATATTAATATTTATATACAATAAGTATTCTGGAAAGCAGACCTTTCCTACTAGAGTCTTCTAGAGCTGCTGGTCCATACATTGCAGTATTAATACCAGTTGCCAAAGAGCAAAACTTTTTGGTAGCATATGAGAGGAAACATTTAATTTTGGGTCAGCTAACTACACTGACCAAAGATAAAATTATTCCTTTTATATATACAGAATGTTCAGAACATCTGGAGCCCAAAGTACTGCTTCTGTGCAGTGAATTTTTTGCATTTTGTGGATTTTACTGTGCAGTGTATTGTAACTTAAAGCTGCTGTGGCTTTGATGGTCTCGATGACTTGGGCAGATGTTTGAAATCTTTGAGATGTCTAAAGTTGTGGACGTGACTGTCTGTTCCATCTCACTGCAAAGTAACTGGACATAGAATCTTCTGTGCTGTCCAGGAAGATATTATTTACTGTATAAACTACTTATAGATGTGAAGACTTCAGCTGCAATAACATGTGGAATTGTAGGAAAAAAAAGTAGGTCTGGAGATTGAGAGGCTCCATTTTCTGCTTTACCTTCAAGTTAGATCATGTTGCTTAGGGCCTTGCTGAGCCAAATTTTTAAATTCTCCAAATTTAAAAATACATCTCCATGCTTGGAGATGCTGCAAACATGATCATGGTTAAATCTCCATTCTGTTCAGTGCTCAACCATCCTCAGGGTGAGGAGTTTCCTTATGTCTATGTGGAATTTCCTGTCAGGCATTCTGTGTCTGTTGCCTGTTGAGTTTTTGCTGTGTTTGTGGAGAAGAAGCTGCCTTCACCTGTTATATAATTCCCTGTCACATCGATGAAGGCAATGGTGGACTCCCTTTCATCTCCAGACTGAACAAATGATGCCTTTTATCTTATGTGTCAGCCCTTTTAGTGGCCTTCCTCTGGATGTGCTTCAGTTTCCCCGTACCTTCTGCTCTGTGTGGCCCAAAGCTGCAGCACTGGACATGTGGCCTCACCACTGCAAGCAGAGGGGAATAGTTGCTTCTCTTGACCTGCTGTTTTTGTTTTTGCTTATGCAGCTTAAACTGCAGTTAGTTTTCGCTAGTTTATGGGTGCTGGCTTTTGTTAAACTTGCTTTCTCCTAGAGACTCCAAATCCTTTTCTGTAGAGCTGCTGCTGGTCCAGTCTGCAGCTATGATGCTGTATATGATCTTTTCCTTCCCAAATGGAGGATACTTTATCTTTGTATAACTTTACAAAGTCACTTTTGGCTTCTTCCTCCAGTTAGTTGGGATCCTTCTGAATGCTGGTCCTGCCCTTCAACATGTTGGCTGCTTTTCCCATTCTATATTGTCTGTAAATATGTGAGGATCCTTTCTGTCCTAGCATCCAAATCTGATAATTATTGGCTGGTATTGTCTACTGAGAAATACTGCACCTAATCTGTTGGCATAAAGGATTATGGACCAAAACTGTTTGAACTTCATGATTCAAGGAAATATTTGCATGCCTATTCAGTCCATGTCTCCTCAGCTGGACAATTGAGGTGCTATGGAAGATAGTGTTAAAAGCCTTGCATAAGTCAAAGCACTGCCAACCAGCAATTCTCCCTGGTCCATGAAACCACTTACTCTTCTGCTTAAGGCAGTGCAGAGTTCGCCTTTAGAAGTCTATTTTCTGATCCCATTCGCATTTATGTCCATCATGCCTGGAAATAACTTTGTTTTAGAACTCATTCTACATTTTGTACAGCAAATGAGGTGAGACTCACTGTTTTTTAGTTCTCTGGATCCTTTACTCTCTGCTGCATCCACCTGGCCTTTCATTTGGACTTTGTTTGTTTGATTTTAAGTTATCAGTTTCCTGTCATGAGCAATTACCATGACTTTTCAAAGATGGTAGCCAGCAGCCTTCCAGAGACATCAATTAGCTTTTTCAGTGCTTTGGATGTTTCCCATCTGATCCTATGTACTTGCATAGGTCCAGCTTACCCAGATAGCGTTTTGATTTGGTACCTCCTCTCCCTCAAACTTTGCTAAATGCAGAAACATGGTAAATTTGGTAGCAGCCCTTGCTGGTAAAGACCATGCCCAAAGTGTTGGGTGTCTCAACTTTTTCTGTACCTTTCATCACTAGGTAGCTTCCTGATTTAGCAGCTGAATTACACTTTCCCCAGAGTGTCTTCTGCTCACAGTTTCTTGCCTTTCACATTCATCCTCAATATCACCTCCAAACAAGCTTTGGCCTCTCTCTCATCCTCTGCTTGCCCAGACAGTGCATCTACATTCTCCTCCAGTTGCCTGTCCCCAGTTCCTTTTTACCTCTGTTTCTGTTTCATTTGAGCTCTGTCTGTGAGAAGTCCTGTGTACAGTCAGCTGGCCTCCTGCTGTGCCTGCTGATTTTCTTTCATGTTGGGAAGGCTTGTTTGATGCTTAGGGAAGAGTCCAGGAAGATGACTGGCTGTTGTGGGCTCAGTTGTGGCCTCCCAGGTCATTCTGCTTGCCATTCCCTGAGCAAGTCCCAACTCTGTCTACTGCAGTGAGTCCAGAGTCTTTAGTCTGCTTTTTTCCTTCCTTTCTTTTCTCAAGACTTACGCTACGATTTCACAATTACTGCATCCAAGGCGTTCTTCAATACATAAGCAGTTCTTCTGTATTCATGAGTACCAGATCCTGCACAGCCCCTCCTCTAGAAGCCTTTTCAGTGCCAGCATCAGAAATTGCTCCCAGTGCATGTGAGAAATTCCCTGGGTATTTCACACCTTACTACACTGCTGTTCCAGGAGGTGTTGTGTGATTTAAGTCCTGCATGAGGACAAGGGGCACTGAATATTGGAATACCAGCCTAAGATGATGTTCCATTTACTATGGGAATGAAAATAAGTTTTCTTTAACTAGTTGCCTTGAATCAGGAGAGGCTGCAGCAAAGATATACAGATGGTATTTAGATTTTATTTTGAAATGGAATATTTAATCTTGAATTCATTTTGAATTACTATGTAACATACAGTCAAAATACTAATTCAGCTGCTATTGGCCATGCAGCTGATGAGATAAAATAACCTGGTTTTCTATAGCCTGAATACTTTGGAATCCATAATATTTGTTCACAACTAATGAATTTGCATGTGATTAGAATAATTTTTCTTTTTGTCTCTAAGATTTCTAGTTTCTAATTACCCTGAAGTAATTTACATGCAATTACATGAAATATTGTGTCAGATTGCACTGTATAGCTCTTATGTTCAGGCCATGCAAATCATACTTGCACATATATATGTGCGAGAAATAATTTCTCATTCTTTTCTTTTTCATGTGACTAGTGAAAGAAGATCTTGTTCATTCATACTTACCATATTTTGTTTCATTGTAATTGGTGACAGTGTGCTTCTTAATCTGTTTTAGTTGGAAGATGGGGAAGAAAAGCCGAGTAAAAACTCAGAAGTCAGGTACAGGAGCCACAGCGACAGTATCTCCAAAGGAAATGTTGAATCTAATTAGTGAGTTATTGCAAAGTAAGTTTTGTTTTTATGCCTCTCTGGGAAAAGGGATGCTGTGCAAACTGCTCAAAAACATTTTCTTGCTGAAGCCAGTGAGTTGTATTTTTCCTGTAAGTGGCCAAGCTTGCTGTTTCAGAGAGCTTAAGGTAGATACTCTGAGATACATACTAAACTACCTCTGCTAATACATGCCATCATTGGCTTATTTAAATGGGTATTTATTGGACAGACCATATTTGTGGCAGCATTTGGCTTTTCATCTGAATACAAGCTTAAATACTGGGTGAGATTAGATTTTTAAACAACCAGATAGCTTGGCATTGAAGCTTTGTCAAAAATATTTTTCTTGTAAACATGAAAAATTACACTGTTTCTATTTATCACTTGAACAGTACTTTGAACTGATACTAGAGTAGGGAAATTAACTATGGGAAGCAGTAATACAACTCAGTTCAACTGCACAGATATTTCTGTTGCTTAGATAAATTTGTTGTTGTTGCCGTTTGGAAACTTCATAGTACTTAGTTCTTGTGTATAGACCAAACACTTGTTGAGGAACTTGGAACTCATCCATTATTTCTAGTAAATATGAAAAGCAGAGCATAATTTCATACAATGATGCTAAAATACTATTGACTCTTTTCTACTGTCATTAGTAACTGTGCTGTGATACAGTTCTTTTTGAAACACATCTCCAGATTTTCATATTCTGGACACATCTAAGTGTTGTCTTAGAAAAATTAAAATTTTTCTTAGCATTGCTCATGAGGAGGAGACAAGGAGTTGGCAAAGCAGTTTGATGCTTATGCTACAATTGGCCTCTGCTTTGCTACCAAAAATAAAATGTGGATCTAATTTGCTAAGCAAAGACAAGTATCAGCTGTTCCTTTTGTCAAGCTTCCATATTTTATTCAATGCTAAGATTTTTCAAACCACTTGAGCAAGGTAATCTTCAGCTGTCTGCTTGGATTTACATGGCTTAGATCAAGAAATCCACACACTGACATTTAGAATATTGGCAGAGACACTGTGGATGTAATCTAAAGCTGAAGCATGGCTTTGTGTTTCTTTGCTTGTCTCTGCAGTACTTGTGCATCTATGAAAACAGTAATGACTAGGCAGGTCAAATGTATGTGCCAGCAAATTTCTCAATTACTTAAGGTATGCTCTGTGCTATTATTATCTGCTTTCATTACAACAAGAGTGATGGCAAGCAAGGTAATGTAAACAGAGTGCTTTGCTTGAATTATTGAAAACAGACACTTTTTGTTGTTTGTCGTATCTGAGATATTATTTACTTAATGGCCTGCTTGTTTACTTTTATTCTTCCTAGCTTTTTAGACATTTGCTATTTCTTATATCTGAAGGAATATTAAAAATAAGTTACACTGTTAAGATTTCAAAAGTCTAAACTAATTACCTGTCAGATAATGGGATGTTTCTAACTGTGGAGATAGTTTTATTTGCCATGTAAACATATTTGAAGGACAGGTAGTACTGAGGTTCTGTTAAGTTACTGTGAAAACATAATTCTGAGGTTAAAATAGAAATGTGTCTGTACATATATATATATGTGTGTGTGTGTATATAATGTACTTAATTAAAGAAAACATTTTTCTTTCCAGAATGCAGCAGTCCTCCCCCAGGTCCTGGTAAGGAATGGGAAGAATATGTACAGATCCGTTCGCTTGTGGAGAAAATCCGTAAAAAGCAAAAAGGTAAATGTCAAAAACTTGCAGTGTTTCTGAAATGTTCAGGTGGACTTCACCACTGGCATTAACCATTTTCATACTCAGAATTCTGAATGATTATCACAGACAGATGTTCCTGTGAGAATTCTGTCTGATAAGCAGAAAAATGAACTGGAAATTGTTTCCTTGTCACAATCTGAAGGACTAGAAGTACCAATCCTTAGAGAATAATAGGCTGCCTTGGTTCCTGGTTGCATAGTCTGCTGCTCTGCCTCTGTAAATCTGAACATTCTGAAGCTCAATTTGTAACTGTTTTACATTAACTCTTTACTGGATGTTGAAACAGTTTCAGCAAGACAATATCAGGACATCAAGTGATGACAAAAGTATGTAAATATACAGAATAAATGCAGCAGCTAATAAGTCTCTCTGCTCTAAATGATGCACATAATCAAAAAAAAGAAATTATTGTAATACCACAGTTCATGAGGAATTTTATTGCCAGTTTTCCAAAGTTCAAGGTATGCTTTTTTTTCATACTAGATCAGTTTTCTTCTATTATGGAATGTAACATCTTGCTGTTGATAATACTTTTTTATATTAATATTTTGTGTTTGGAGTCATACTCTAAAAAAATCCTTTTCATATAATTTTACTAAAAGTAACCTCTTTTATGACAGATATATTTTAATGACTGAGAAATAACTTTTTAACCTTGCAATGAATAGATTTGGGCTGGACGTACCTGAAAAAGTCCTAAACAATTCTTTCTTCTCTGGTATTTATACAGTAATAGCAAGAAAGCCAGACTACATATAAATGGAGCTTGACTGTTTCATGGTGTTACTTGATGAAGCAAATAATTAAGAGGCTTGAAATTTCCCTTTCACACCTGTTTTTAATATATTTTGACTGGTGCATAGAGATCTTTCTCCATAAAAGGACTTAACACACCTCTGAACATCAGTTTTTGGCAGAGGGTGTATGGAGGAATAAATGATGCTCTTTCAGTGACTGCATTCTGTAGTGATGTAGATGTGAATTTGGTTCATTTTTAACTGTGCCATGACTTCTGTAAACTTACTGTACATGTCCAGGTTTTTATGATGTAATCTATGTGTTAAAGTAAGTCATAATTCAGGTTAATAAGAGCAGGGTTAGCACTGGGGTTGGCCTTTTCTCTGAATCTTTCTTCTGCACCAGAAAGATTAAACTATCCATGGGTGGGGCGGGGGGGAAGATGCTGCAGGCAGAGATGGTAGAATTAGTGTAACAGTATCATGCTAATAGAACATAGTTTTTTCTTTGGAAGATACAAAACCTACTAACCACACTGCTATTGACATACAAGTGTCTTTCCATGTAACATTTTTATATCCATGGAGAGTAGCAAAGTTATGGTGTCTTTCAAGACTATTTTTAATAGAACATAATAGTTAATCTACAGAGTTTGCTAACTTAATAAAGGCTTTAGACCTAATAATACATAATTAATATATATGCCAAAAATGTTATATTTTGTGCTTTTCTTGACTAGAACATGGGGCTGCAGGATGTGAACTAGAATAATCTTTGGTATAGGAAACTCTTAATTTGAAAACGGAGTTTTTTTAATGTCTAAAATTTTCCTTGTTTGACTCGTTAGCAAAATCATAAATAAAGCTAATTTTCAATATAGATTTTCATCAGTACAGCTATATTTTGTTCCATGTAGAAACTATTTATTCCCCAATGGTGCTTATGACTTAAAGGAGCTGGTCTTCTCTTTAATTTGGAAAAATTGGGAAGTATTGGTCCACATTGTATATGAGGAACAGAAGTAGAATTTTAGAGATGTTTAAAGAATGGTCCCAAGTACAAGCTGGATGTTAAAAGCTCCCAGTAGTCTTATACAGTAAGAAAAATTGGAAATCAAAATAGTAAAATCTTGGACAGTAAATGCCTACCAAGTTCTGTAGAAACCATGCAACTAGTCTTTCTGTGTTTGTGAGGGCATTTATATTCCAAAAAATACTTTGCAAATACTGAAGAAATTTTTATACTGTATTGTCAAAGATGAAAGTTTTAAATGCTACTTGCACTTTTAAATTAACTACAGATTTGATTGGTTCTGGGCCTTGAAATGCAACATTTTGAGACAAGAGGGGGATATTTTAAGTACACTAATGCTACTTCCCTAAAATAATTTTAATCTCAAAATGTATTTTATTCCCTGTGCTTAGCCAAAATATCTTTGGATGCAAAGCATCTTGCTGATGACATTTTGTCACTCATAAAATGGCCTGAGCATTTTGGGGGCCTTTGGACACTTTTAATGTGATCTGACTCTAGAGTTTGGGTTGAAGAGAGCACACAGAGGCAAAGAGGAACAAAAGGAGCTGACTGAGTATAGCCAGGAACTATTACAGAGAGGTTCAAATGAATTCACAGTAGAAGAAAGCTAAGGAAATGAACGAGGCTTGTGATTTCACTGATGGACCACATGCTGTTGGAGAAGCAAAGTGTAAAAATTTGGACGAGCTCTGTGATGTTAGGAGGATGATCCTTAGATATTTTAGATCTATCCTTAGATCTATCCTTAGATATTTTAGTAGATCCATATGCTGCAGGAAAAGGCTAACTGTCTTGTATGTGAAAGAAGGAACTCAAGATCTGCTTATCATCAGTTGCAGTGCTGAATTAATGAAATTACAGCTTGTCTCTCAAATTCTTCCTTGTCTGTATCAACATGTTGTGGTGATTGCATTTATCTTTAATATTAAGATTGGAAATATTTTGGCTTTTATTAAAAGGGAAAGAAGAGGAGAGTTTCATATTTCATTATTGCTCAGTTTGGGCAGTTGCATCTTTAAGACGACTGGTAAGCCAATTTGGCACAATAATGAATTTGATGAAAATTGGGTATGACATTTATATAGTATTGAGTAACACTTAACAGAGGCCAGTTCTGACTCAGCTACTTCAAAGTAGCACTGCTGTGAGATAGCAGATAGCTTTTAACATGGACTTCTATATTGAGCTTTTTTATCTTTCTGGATCCTCTTATTTCTGCATTTGTTTTTCAATAAATTGTGTATATAGGTTTGTCTGTTGTCTTTGATGGAAAAAGAGATGACTATTTCCCTGAATTGATAAAATGGGCAACTGAAAATGGAGCATCCACAGAGGGTTTTGAAATAGCTAACTTTGAAGAGGAGGGATTTGGTTTGAAAGCAACAAGAGAGATAAAGGTGAGCATGTGAACATTTGACTTAGATTAGAAAATTGTGTTTGGAATGTATCTGCAGAGCTCTGAAATGCTCACCCTTTTCCCCCTTTTGACTCCTTATGCTGTTCTGAAACATTACCAACTCTGTGTACTTGAGAATAACGTTATTGATAAAATTGAGTATTTTTTTATGACTACTGATAGTACTGTGAATTTTTAATTAATCTTTTTTTTTCTCTATGTTGCCTATACTCTACCTAGTCACAGAGTACTCTACCACACTGATGTATCCCTTATGTATCCCTTTATTCCATGTTTTCTAACTATTTAGTCTCTTCTCTTCTTTCATGTCCCTTTTAAAGAACTGAAAAGTTCTTTAAAAGTTTTTGCCTGAAAAAGAGGTATTTACAATACCTATTTAGTCTCTTCTTTTCTTCTTTTGTGTCCCTTCTTTTAAAGAATTGGTCTTTTTTCTCAGAAAGTGGTGTTTGCAATACCTATTTTTCAGTGAAAATAAAAAAAAAATCCCCAAATTATGATAATTGTAAAGGATTTTTTTAATCATCAGAGAAGGAGTATAAACACACACAAAGTTAGATAACTGTTAAAAGGTAAACATTTAAAATTGTGTCTTTCCATTCCCATTTTGTAGGTGGGAAACAGGTTTGAAGACCAATCAGCTGTTGTAGAATGAGTATTAGAAAATGAGCACAGTATAGTCATTTAAGAGCTTCATTAGCACACAGTTTATACATTCATAGAAATCCTGAACAGTTCTTCTAGAATAAAAGCAGCCAATATGAAAAAAACTCTACTGTGAGAAAATATGTGATCATGTAATTATTAGCAATATAATGTGTCTGATAGCTTTAAGGTTGTGTTGTACATATTAGCAGTTCCAAAATGGAAGGGCTTTATTTTGTATCTGAGTGCCTGTGTTTCAAGTTTTGTGTAATGCAGATTGAAACATTGGTTACCACAATATGAAATACAGGTTGTTTCTTGAATTTGCAGTGGAAGAGAAGGAAGAATTCTGATTTAGAATAATTCTGATGTAAAAAAATAATGCAAACAACTTTTCATTTAAAGTTGTTGTATATTTGAGACACTTGGCACATAATATAAATGCTGGCTGACCCTATATTGCATTTCTTTCCTTTCTGTAGGCTGAAGAATTGTTTCTGTGGGTTCCTAGAAAACTGTTGATGACAGTTGAATCAGCTAAAAATTCAGTCTTAGGTAAGAGCTCAAGGAAGTTCTTAAGAAAGAAATTAATATTTATGGGATCTTTCAGTAGGAGACTTTCTTTTTTTAGCTGATCTTCTTTATTACAGAGCTTGCTTATCATGCCAGTCATCAGGTTTGGAATACTTAGAAACTTGAAGTGTCAGTGGAAAGAATTTAATTTCCCGGTTAGTTTCTGGCTGAGTGCACTGGATATCTTCCACAAGTTGTTTGTGTTATTTTGAACACGTATTATGTAGCTTGTATAATACTTGGAGATAAAATGTTCTGAGGTATTGAGAATATTGTTCTAGTTTTGTCATGCAATTGTATATGAGGCATTTGCTGTGTCAAAAATCTTGCAGTATAATACAGTGCAGGCAGCTAAATATTTTAGAAACCTGAAAAGCTTTTTTTCATTTTTTTTTGTTAGATACTTACCTGTTATTAAATTGTGTTAATTTAAAGTAGATCTAGGATGAGATTTTCCGTGGAGAATCAATTTAGTTCCTCACCTTTCTTGGTTAATTCAGGATCTCTGTACTCTCAAGATCGAATTCTTCAAGCCATGGGCAATATAACGTTGGCATTCCATCTCCTTTGTGAGCGAGCCAACCCCAACTCTTTCTGGCTGCCCTACATCCAGACTCTCCCCAGTGAATATGATACTCCTCTCTATTTTGAAGAAGATGAAGTACAGTATCTTCAATCAACTCAGGCCATACATGATGTTTTTAGTCAATATAAAAATACAGCTCGACAGTATGCCTATTTCTACAAAGTTATTCAGGTAAGAATCTTAAATGTAGTATATGCATGTTGTTCTCATGATCCTTATTGTGGAAAATGTGAAAACAGTGATGCTGAATAATAGTACAAGTATATTGCCCTTGAAAGTCTGAATCATTAAAGCAATTTCCTGCTGGTTTTTTTGAACTGCTATTGAAATTTTGCAGTTCTGTAGGCTTATAGGTATATAAAAATGTATTTAGTTGGTTGAGAGAAGTGACTGTTGCCCTTTGTTTAAAAATGGGTGAGGCTTTATCTGGAATACTGTACAATTTTGGGCCCACCAGTGTAAAAGACACGTTGACAAATTGGAAACTTGTTGACAAACTGGAATGAGACCAGAGGAGTGCTGTTAAGATGTCATTTGCTTCAGCCCTTTATCTGTATAAAGGGAGACTAAGGGATCTGGATTTGTTTGTTCTGGGGGAAAGGAGATAAGGAATGATCCAGTCGCTGCTTTCATCTTGCTATTGTTAGCCAGTCTCTAGAAGTTTGTGGGTTGGAAACTTTTCTGCGTGACCTGCAGAGATCTACAACCTATGCATGCCTCTATGATTCTTTGAAAAATGTGTAGTTTGCACTTAACAAAGTAAAGTGATAATTGTTAATTGACAGAATAAAACCATTGCATATGTTGTATTTCCAATGAACTGGATTAACTGTTGTTTTCTGTTCTAGTTAGCGTAATTATTTTGATTGCTTTCAAATACAAAGATAAACCCATCTGGTAACAGTTAGGGTATGGAGAGGCTTGAGATGGGTGAACTTTTCATTGTGTTCTGAAGGAATGGTTTAAACCAAGTTTCGAACAGAACTCTTAGTCTGACTGATAGCTGGATATAATATTGTAGTGAATGTTGATGTGTTGTTCTCACATGTGCAAACATTCAAAGATTTTTGTGGCACATTCTCTATAAAAAATGTATGGCTCTGTGTACTGAATCTCCCCAGATGTGCGATCTAGAGACATTTTGTTTGGCCACGAGAGAGGTCAGAAGACACAAGGCAATTCTATTCTCCTTTAGAGTTACCAGAGTTCCAAAGCTTTTCTGTCAACTGTTTTAATTCAACAAAAGTTACATTATTTTGTGTAGCTGTTTGGTGCTTCAAGAACTGAATATGTTTCAAACACAAATTCAGTTTATGGAGTATAAGGAGCAGAAGGATACATTTTGAAAACTAAAGTAATTGAAAATGATTGGTGAAAGCCAAATCAGATGCACAAGGAATATGTTAGAAACAGTGGCTTTGATATTGGAAGGGAACTGAATTCTTCCTTCCAGGTGTCACAGTACAGGAAACAATAGTTCAGCCAACGCTTTTTTTCTTGCTGTGTCCTATCCTAGACTCCCAGTCCACACTTGGTCTTCCAGCCTTCACTTAGTTTCTCAAAATATGCTGCCTGTTCAAACTGAGCTTCTAAATGTTGTGCCTTAGAATGTTTTTTTTTCACCCTAAACAGGTCTACAGTTCTTAACAAATTATTTCCAGAATATTGTGGAACATTATCCAATTCTTCTAGCTGCTGTTCTTGCTCTTGCAGTTCTTTTGAGAACTGAATCATCTGAATCAGCTGAACTATCACTATGACAAGTTCCATCATTTTCACTAATCCTGCACTAGTACTGTTATGTGAGAGGTTATGTGACTGCAACATTAATTAAAAAAACCCAAAACTCTGAAATGCAGAATGGTCAGGAAATTAGATCAATTTTTTTTTGGTTCTCCTGACAAATGCTTTTATTGCTTGTCTTGTGTTCTTGGTACATATCTTGTTCTATAGCTGTTGTTTCAACATTGTTGAACATGAGATGAAGGTAGATCAGGTTTTTGCTTTATTTGCTTTATTTACTTTCCTTTGCAGAATGAGAGGTAATAAGTATTTAGTTAAATTTTAAGTGGGTCCTGGTTGTTTGGTGCCTTACTTCAGCACTGCCATGTAACCACAATTTCAGCTGAATGTTTCTTCACTACTATTCAGCAAATACTACTGTTCACATTAGAAAGTCAAATAAATTCAGTTGGCTCCAGGAATGCCAACTGTATGTATTGGACAGCTATTATTAATGTTTTCTTTGAAAACTTAAGAAAAAGTTTAAATTTTTGATCTCTGCTTTCAAAAACAAGAGCTTGTGATTTATGAAATGGTGGAGGAGAGGAGTTCATAGAGAAAAAATAGAAGTCTCTTTCTTCCCTAAAACAAAGTACCATTTTTCTTTATTCATAAAAGCTGAAATTAATTTTAGTATCAGCTTGCATGTGCTCATATCATGTTTTGAACAAAATTGACCCACAAAATACTAATGCTAAGGGTAATTCATGAGCAGATGGAAAAGGGAAGAAACAGCGAAAGAGAAATTTTTCATATAAATGAAAAAAGCAAAGCAAACCCACTTGTCTATGAAAGGCAGTGTACTCTGCGAGCTTGATTAAATGAGGTTTTTTTAGATTTTTGTATACCATCATTTCGTTCAGTACTACTACTGCTTTAGTAGAAGTGTTTAAATGAAAAGTTGTCCTGTATGACCAGGATTTTCATCTTGCCTTCAGGATGCAGGCTAATTTTTTAAAAGTACAAATACCTTTTAAAGTATTTTTTTTTAAAGTACAAATACATTTTTTTGTAATGCAAAAATCTTAAAACTATGTTTATTTTATTGATAGTTGTTCTGCTGTGGGAAGTAATGCTAGCAGCATCTTGCAATAAGAGCTGGGGTTTTTTGCTGTTTGAAGATACTAAAAAAGTGACTACTTTGTGCAGGCAGAATACTCTAATTGCAACATTTTTAGTCTACAAAATATTTCTAATGGTGGGGGAACAAAAGGGTTAACAGGTCCTGTCTTCAAATGCTTCTTTTTCTTTCTAAATAGGATTCTAGACTGCTTTTAAAATAATTTGGCTTCTGATAGGTGTGCAGTTTCAAACATGGTTTGAGAAGTGCTGCTCTGTTTTATTTCCTTAGCTTCTCTATAAAGGGTGACTGCTGCAGTTCTGACTTTCTCCAAGTGCTTAGTCTGGCTTGACATGAAGAATGGGCAGATTTATGAATTTCACAGCTGTTGCAAGCTAAACTGTAGTCTGGTTTGATAAGCAGAAACAGGTGGGATGTTGAGCAGACAAAAATAAACTCTTGAGCATGTTAGCCAGGCTCTATAAACCACACTGACACCTCTCTAAACATATGTAATTTGATAACTAAAAAATAGCTAAAAGTTGTTGCAGCTGCATTTGGCCTCTGCATTGGTGTCAAAATACAGGGAATGCTCAAAAGATTACTTTCATTGCTGCAGACTTGTAGTTTGCATGATTTTTTTTTATAGTTTGTTCCAAAGAGAAATTCTGTAAGCTGCAGGGTTTTCTCTTCTCAGGGGAAGAGAAAGGAAGGTATGTCTGTGACTTCCTTAACATTTATGAGCACTGCATGCCTGCAGAAGGGTGAACAAAGCCCAGATATTTATGGCTTAATGTTAAAAATATTTTGTCCACTGAAATGTGGCATAATAGACACAAGAGGGAGCCATATAGTTTAAAGACAGTGAGGTTATATTTCACTGTGAGATTGTATTTCTAAAGAAAATGCGGCCAAGTTTGAAGCTTTTTTAAAAGAATATGCAGTGGTCTTTGTGTTTGATTTTCAGGTGCATCTCTATGCCTGTTTGTAGTCAGCTACAGAGAAGTTCTTGTGAATCAAAACAAGATATGAAGACAAGGAATGCACTTAGAGAAGGTGGAAGTGTCCAAACTATTTACATTTTGAACTTGATGGGTTTGAAGCAGTGTTGTATCTTTTCCCCAGCTGTCGTAAAGGCTGTTATTACCTGCCTAAATAAAAGACAATTTTATGATAACTTTAGTTGTCTTTTAAAATCTTTGACGTGGTAAGTCCAAAACCATCATTAGCTAACCATAGCTTTTGCCATGGCTGTATGCATTCAGCGGCACTCTGAGTAAGCAGTATCTCTATGTAGCTGCCTCTCATGTGCTGGAAAAAAACACGTTTTGTGGGACTGTCCAGGATGGCAGTTTTGCATTGATTTACACAGTGTTTTCAGCCTGTAGTCTTTGGACCGCTGAGGGACCACATTTTTTTTTTTTTCTGAAGAGCGAGTTATCAGCCTGAAAAGAAAAAACAAAAAGCCTGAACCACAGCCAATATGGTTGACAGTGTAGTGGGCCTCTGCTGTAAGGCCTGATCAGAAGGAAGGAAGAAGTGAGAGAGGCCTTCTACAGACAGCTAAAAACAGCCTCACATTTGCAGGGCCTGATTCTCAGCAGGAACTTCACTCCAGTATCTGTTAGAGGAACAGCACAGCAGGGCATAAGCAGTCCAGGAGGTTTGTGGAGAGCTTCCTCACCCAAGCAGTGGAGGGGCCAATGAGGAGAGGTGCTACTTGCATTCATGGACCTCATACTTACAAACAAGGAAGGGTTTGTTAGAGATGCAGAGGTTGAAGACAGCCTTGGCTGTAGTGACCATGAGGTGGTGGATTTCAGGATCCTGAGAGGAGGAGGCAGAGCAAACAGCAAGGTCACAATGCTGGACTTCAGGAAAGCAGTATTGGCTACTTCATGGATCTGCTTGGAAGAGTCCCATGGGATAAGGCTTTGGAGAGAAGGATCCAAGAAAGAAAACATGGTTAGTGTTGACAGATCACCTCATCTAAGTCGAGGAGCAGTTCTTCTCAAAAAGCAGGAAGTCAGGCAAAAGTGCCAGGAGGCCTTCATGAATCAGCAAGGAACTCCTGGCAAAAACTCAGACATGAAAAAGAAGCATAGGGAAGGTGAAAGCAGGGACAGGTAATGTGTAAGAAATATGAAGACATTGTCTAATCATCCAGGGATGTGGTTAGGAAGCCTAAAGCCCAGCAGGAATTGCGTCTTGCAAGAGATATTAAAGGTGATGAAAAGGGTTTCTCTATGTACATAGGTGACCAAAGGAGGACTAGAGGAAATGTGGGCCTGCTGCTGGATGGAGCAGGGGACTGTGACATAGAACATGT